GAAAGAGATAATTAGAGCACAGTCCCACTATTACTCTGTGAATAGCAACCAAGTTTTGATATCAACAGAATGAATTACAAAATATGAGGGAAGGACCTCAAAATGCATTTCAGCTCTAAGGACCTATATAAAATAGGTTAGCCAAAAACCTTTCCCATACTACATGTCAGGGGTCATTTCCTGCAGGAGCGCACAGGAGCAGAGCTCCGGCAGTAAAGAGCCCAGAGGGCGGGCACATGCAACAAGCCCTACCCCTGCACCCAGCAGCCCTCAGTCAGAGCAAGAAGCAGCCAGGTGAGTTGCACAGCTCCCCCCAGCCCCCCAGTCCAAAACAGTCCAGTGGCACCTTTAAGACCAAGTTTTATTCAGGTAGAAGCTCTCCCTCCTCTGTGAGGACAGATCTGCACGTCCCCCCCACCCCAATAGCTAGCAATCCAAAACAGTCCAGTGGAGCCTGAACGGTGGGTGTTGCCTTCTGACACACTTCTGGTGATGCCAGGGGTGTGGTATATGCAAATAAGTTAAGCTAATTAGTTATGCTAATGAGCTCCTGCACCTCTTTTTCTACGAAATGACCCCTGCTACATGTTACATACTGAACAGTCAATTTCTTGGCTTCCACTTTGGTCATTCTTCTCTTATGAAAGTGGTATATACTGCTCCCCTAAGGAGGGAAGACCATTGTGAGTAAGAGATGAAAAAGGGGCCACAGGAGGAGGGAGGCCGAATTGTCAAGGGGGGGGGCGTGGCTCAAGTTGGCACAGCATGACCTACACAAAAGGAAGCAGAAATAAATATTCTTTGCAGTGAGAATGCGGTTGCACAGAATAGTAGACTACATAAGGGCTTCCCGGCACACCTGCATATGGAAGGTAGCAGAAGGGTACCTCCAGGGGTCATTTCCTGCAGGAGCGCACAGGAGCTGGCAATCCAAAACAGTCCATTGGAGCCTGAGCGGTGGGTGCTGCCTTCTGAAACACTTCCGGTGATGTCAGGGGGTGTGGCATATGCAAATAAGTTATGCTAATGAGTTATGCCAATGAGCTCCTGCACCTCTTTTTCTACGAAATGACCCCTG